GGGGGGGGGGGGGGGGGTAAAGGTGATGCAGGTGCCGGGAATGGAAGTAGTGGCTATATGCACGATATCACAGCGACACTGAGAAACATGGCCGTCGGTTAGCTCTACATAGGGCGCGTGCAAGCAGGTCCCCGCGGATACATGTTTGCTTTCCAGTTGTGGAAGGCACGGCGCGATTTTGTGAAGAAACGTTTCTAGTTTTACGGGAGTGTACTCGCTCCCGGCCCTGCTCCTCTTCGCCAAAGGGCCGGGCTGGGCTCTATACGCAGGGCCGCCCAGGACGGCTGGGTCCCCCATGAATGAATATGGAATCCTGTTAGTGGTTGCGAAAACAACCGTGCGTGAACATCAAGCCATAACATTACAGCGCCTGTTAATGCTATACTGCACAAAATTATTACGGCGTTTCCAACTACAAAAATTTGTTGAATTATTTTGTATGGTCAGTTTGGTGGTAGCTGCTCATAACTTTTCGTAGTGCACGTTCACTCAGTTTAAACATATTTCAAATGTAAGTGTAGAACTGCTCGACAATTGTGGCAAACACTTTCTTTTGCAGTTTGTTATTGGTGAACGAGAACTGCTACTCACAACTGCGGAACAGTTCTGCACTTTATGAGTAGCTGTTTCCCAAATGTTCGCCCCCAACCTAAGCTCCTCAGTGCGTTTCCGTTATTAAAGAAACGTCTTGAGTCAGGCGGGCGAGAAGCGAATAAACATTTGTTGGACAGTGTGAAATCTAATTACAAAATGTCTTTTGCAAACAACGGGCCGGCTGAAGGCGGCTCGGGGTGGACTATGGACAAAACTCCGTGAAGGAGACTCAACAGGACTAGATGGAAACTTTTCAGGGTCATTTTTTTGTGTCTGGAAAAGGAGGAAGGGCGGATAGGATGCGGGTGAAAGGGGGCGGAGTAGAGATTTTGGACTTACAACACAGCTTCTTTGCTAAGTTTATCATTCATCGACTGTATTAACATTTTCGCACGCAATCGACAACGTAAATAACCGGTTTTTTGCCTCATTTCTCGGCAATTTTATAGTGAGAAATATGACTAATTAAGTTACATCTGTATACGTAAAGTAACTCTTGAAAGTATTCAACCCGACATATGTTTCCCGTCCCTTCAGCCTCCTCTTCCACATTCCGGAATTGTGGGAATCTGCCTACCCTATTTTCATGCTTTAAAGAATCTAGCAGCATTAGACGTATCCTTCGACACTCTTATAATTTTAATCAAAGCATTACAGCCATAAGTTTATAAAAAAAGAAAAAGGACTACGCCGAGTAGGTAGTTATGTTTCAGCGTGTTTCTAATATTTTAGTTTTTCGCCCAGCCAAAGGTGAAACAAAAGAACCACAAACAACAACACCATGAAAACCACATACAAAGAGCAACTCACCTTCATAACGGAGGATGCTTGTCGACAGTTGACGTCTTTTCGCCAAAAGCTTTTAGGTCGTATCTTTGCCTTTTGTAATGGGTTTCCCGCCCAATGGAAGGCCCAGAGCCGCGCCACGCCGCGCCACGCCCCAGCCACTGATTAGATTAGAGCAGAACACGCGCTGTATCAATGTTCCATCTCTTTTCGATTCAACATCGATTAGTGTTTCGTTCATTGACTCTGCCCTTCACCCAGTGAGAGATGGGGGTCGGGGTCGGAAAGACGTCGACACAACGCCGCGAGCCGATATGCTGCAGAGGGCAGAACTCTCTGTTCGTCGCTCGCTCACAACACACTTACTCTGCGCTCCCCTCCGGCAGCGTACTGAAAATCAAATGCCGCGATTTGCGCAAGAGGAGGGGGTATCAGAAGAGAAAAATAGTACTCATAACTATTAGCTATTTGTATAACGGGCGTCCTCTTCCCCGTAATTGTAGTGGAACGAAGGCCGGGAGTCAGTTTCTGAAAGGTGACGAAATCTGAGCCAAGGGTTACTCACCGTCCTGTCCAAACTGTGGAACTTAGCTCCTTGCGGCCGGATGTACTGCTAGGTCGTCCCCAACTCCAACAGCGACGGCCCTTGTCTTGTCAGCCGACCGTAGTAATCGCCCCTCCCCCTT